CAGCCCAACGCATCACTCCCCAGTGAGGGGGGGGACAAGCAGGCAGCAGCGCCCTAGAGGGAGTGTGAGGTTGGCGTAATCCAGCTTCGGAAGAAGCTGAATTGGGCTTTGACCCCCTCCCACGAAGAAGGCAAGTGCCAAGCAACTCTATAGTGGCCGATCGAGCCGGATTACCGGCATAAATTCTTCGTCAGCAGACTTCTTTGAAGAAGGACAACAACTGTGAGTTAAAAGAAACAATGCGAAACCCGTTTTGAACGTGCTAGATAACAAAAACGTGCCGCTTACCTGAACTGAGTTTGGAGTTGAAGGTATAAATAAATAAATAAATACATCAAGCATCCATTTACAACTAAATGGACTTAAAAAAAAACAACCCATCAAGTTATAGATAAGAGGTAACTTTCAGGGAAACAACCAAGTTCATAGCAATAAAGCCATCTGTTAAGCAAAGAGCTCTGTCAAGCAAAGTAGCATACTCACAGAATGTTGTCTCTATAAATTATTCAACTGTAACTGCATTCATGTCAAAAACTGTTAACTGACCAGTGCATGCACAGTTTTCCAGAATATATAAATGCAATCTAGCTTGAAAACAACTTTGTAACAGAAAGTGCTGTACTACTTAGGTAAGATATATAGCCAACACTAATACCTAATTCTGCAAGCCACTATGTTGTATTCTGCTAGTCCAAAAAGGGCTCTGTACTATGTAGCTATTATATTTTTATCCTGCCTTCCACCCTCAGACACAGAGCTTGGCTCTCTTCTTCCCCAGTTCAGTGCAGGGACAGAGCCAAATCCGGGAAGGAAAAAACAAAGTCAAATGTGACTACAGCAGTAGTCCAACAACTGCGTGCATGCACCCAGGAGGACTTTACTTATGCTTAACACCTATATCCATACCCTTCAGTGTTCTAAAGTGCTTCTTTGAATATAAAACCCAATATTTTGAGTTAATATTGCAATTTCCCCCCATTTTTCCTTACATGCATACATACAATCAATATCAAAACTTGTGATCCTAGTGCAAAGTCATACTTTGTTACATTGTCACATAAAACATTCCATTCTATTCTGACAACAGGCACACAGAACTATGTCTTAAGTTACTCATTCAAAGTGACATCAGAAAATGCATTGGATATGTTCTTTCACACGTCTCCTTCCTTAAGCCAAACACTACACTTTACTTTTTGATGGTTAAGTTCAGACACAGATGTCATTGAAATAACGGAACCTGAGCAGCACAGGGAAAGCCCTCCAACCACCTTAAACATCACCAATACATTCTGCCATTCTCCCTTCCTGGTAATTAATTCTGTTCCTTTAAGAAAAAACTTTTTGACAGAACAGCATAAACCCCATGAACTATTCTAGGACAAAGTACTCATATCTGCAATTCTGCTTACACAAAACACAGCAGAAAAGAATAAGAGTCCCGTAGCACCTTAAAGACTAACAAAATTTGTGGCAGGGTATGAGATTTCACCCCCTCATGGATCACTGCCTTGTCGTGGCGAGGGGGCTTGCGTGGTTCGATGAGGCTGTGGGCTATGCCGTGGAGGGCCACCCAAGACGGACAGGACACAGCAGAGAACTCAGACCAAGTGTGATCCACTGGAGAAGGAAATGGCAACCCACTCCAGTACCTTTGCCAAGAAAACCCCATGGACAGTATCAAAAGGCTAAAAGATCTGATGCCGGAAGATGAGCCCCTCAGGTCGGAAGGTGTCCAATATGCTACTGGGGAAGAGCAGAGGGCAAGTACAAGTAACCCCAGAAAGAGTGAAGCGGCTGGGCCAAAGCCGAAAGGATGCTCAGTTGTGGATGTGTCTGATGGTGAAAGGAAAGTCCGATGCTGCAAAGAACAATACTGCATAGGAACCTGGAATGTAAGATCTATGAATCAAGGTAAGCTTGACGTGGTCAAAAATGATATCTTAGGAATCAGTGAACTAAAGTGGACAGGAATGGGCGAATTTAACTCAGAAGACCATTATATCTACTACTGTGGCCAGGAATCTCGTAGAAAAAATGGTGTGGACTTTATAGTCAACAAGAGAGTGTAAACGTCAGTACTGGGATACAATCTCAAAAATGACAGAATGATCTCAGCCCGAATCCAAGGCAAACCATTCAACATCACAGTAATCCAAGTCTATGCCCCAACCACTGATGCAGAAGAGGCTGAAGTGGACCGGTTCTATGAAGACCTACAACACCTCCTAGAACTAACACCAAAAAATGATGTCCTCATCATCATAGGGGACTGGAATGCTAAAGTAGGAAGTCAAAAGGTAACCGGAATAACAGACAAGTTTGGCCTTGGAAAGCAAAATGAAGCAGGGCAAAGGTTAACAGAGTTTTGTCAAGAGAACACACTGGTCATAGCGAACACCCTTTTCCAACAACCTAAGAGGCGACTCTACACATGGACATCACCAGATGGGCAACACCGAAATCAGATTGACTATATAATTTGCAGTCAAAGATGGAGAAGCTCTATCCAGTCAGTAAAAACAAGACCTGGAGCTGACTGTGGTTCAGATCATGAGCTACTCATTGCAAAATTCAGACTTAAACTGAAGAAAATTGGGAAAACCACGAGGCCATTCAGGTTTGACCTAGATCGCATCCCTGATGAATATACAGTAGAGGTGAAGAATAGATTCAAGGGTCTGGATTTGATAGATAGAGTGCCTGAAGAACTATGGACAGAGGTTCGTGACATCGTACAGGAGGCAGCAATCACCACCATACCAAAGAAAAAGAAATGCAAGAAAGCAAAATGGCTTTCTGATGAGGCTTTACAAATAGCAGAGGAAAGAAGGAAAGCGAAAGGCAAAGGCGAAAAGGAAAGATTTACCCAACTGAACGCAGATTTCCAGAGAACAGCAAGGAGAGATAAGGAGGCCTTCCTGAATGAACAGTGCAAAGTAATAGAAGAAAACAATAGAATGGGAAGGACTAGAGATCTCTTCAAGAAAATTGGAGAAATCAAGGGAGCGTTCCATGCAAAGCTGGCCATGATAAAGGACAAAAACGGTAGGGACCTAACAGAAGCAGAAGAGATTAGGAAAAGATGGCAAGAATACACAGAAGAACTATACAAGAAAGACCTCAATGTCCTTGACAAACACGACGGTATAATCACTGACCTTGAGCCAGACATCCTGGAATGTGAAGTTAAATGGGCCTTAGAAAGCATTACTAACAACAAAGCTAGTGGAGGTGATGGTATTCCAGCTGAGCTATTCAAAGTCTTAGAAGATGATGCTGTTAAAGTTCTGCACTCCATTTGCCAGCAAATTTGGAAAACGCAACAGTGGCCACAGGATTGGAAAAGATCAGTATACATTCCAATCCCAAAGAAGGGCAATGCCAAGGAATGTTCAAACTATCGCACAATTGCACTCATATCACACGCTAGCAAGGTCATGCTCAAGATCCTACAAGCTAGGCTTCAACAGTACGTGGATAGAGAACTACCAGAAGTACAAGCTGGGTTTCGAAGAGGTAGAGGAACGAGAGATCATATTGCCAACATTCGCTGGATTATGGAGAAAGCAAGAGAGTACCAGAAAAATATCTACTTCTGCTTCATTGACTATGCTAAAGCCTTTGACTGTGTGGATCACAACAAACTATGGCAGGTCCTTAAAGAGATGGGAGTACCAGACCACCTCACATGTCTCTTGAGAAACCTGTATAAGGGCCAAGAAGCGACAGTTAGAACCGGATACGGAACAACTGATTGGTTCAGCATAGGAAAAGGAGTACGACAAGGATGTATACTGTCACCTTGCTTATTTAATATATATGCAGAGTACATCATGCGAAATGCTGGCCTGGATGAATCACAAGCGGGAATTAAGATTGCTGGGGAAAAGATCAACAACCTCAGATATGCAGATGATACCACTCTAATGGCTGAAAGTGAAAAGGATCTAAAGAGCCTCTTGCTCAGAGTAAAAGAGGAGAGCGCAAAAGTGGAAGACTCGAGAGTCCCTTGGACTGCAAGAAGATCAAATCAGTCAATCCTAAAAGTAATCAACCCTGACTGTTCCCTGGAAGGCCAGATAATGACACTGAAGCTCAAATACTTTGGGGGCACCAAATGAGAAGGGAGAACTCACTGGAGAAGACTCTGATGCTGGGAAAGATTTAAGGTCAAAGAAGACGGGGATGGCAAAGGATGAGATGGTTAGACAGTGTCATAGATGCAACAAACATGAAATTGAGCCAACTTCAGAGGACGGCGGAAAACAGGAAGGCCTGGCATGATCTGGTCCATGGGGTCGCAAAGAGTCGGACTCGACTGTGCGACTGAACAACAACATGAGCTTTCATGAGTTACTGCTCACTTCTTCACAAAACACAGTTATAGGAACAACTGCTTACCATTAACTGGCAACAAAAACTAGACAGAAATATAACTTTTCCTTCTACGTCTCTGTACACCCTCCCCTTCTGACAAGAAACAAAGATAAGAGTCTATTTTTATAATCCAGCACACTGGCATTTTGGATTGTTTCCGAGGGTTTTTTTAGGGCCCTACAAATGAATGTCATTTAGTTAAACTATTTCTACACTTTCTAGTCATTAGATCAACTCAGAATAACAAATCTAAGTGACATACTAATATGATAAGTGACATGCTAATATGAGAATTGAGTAAACAGACCTGACTGTCTCCATAACTGGCTAAAACCCAAGAGTATTTTTCCCCTCAGAAATCATGATTGAATGCCACATGATCAATAATGCTATGATTCACAGGGTAACACTACTCAAACTATAAACAGCTCTAATTTCACATGTTCCTAATTTAATGTTTTATAAAAATATTACTCCATTTTCAACTGGAATCCACAGGTAACCTTTGCCTGTACAATTCAATACTTAGACTATTGCAGAATCACTGACTTAATTGATAATATTATTCACTTACACTCCTGTGAACAAGATAAGGATCAAGTCCTGGAATTTTTTCCCCATCAGCTGAGCCAAGTTATAGAAATTGCAGTTCTTTCCTTAACAAAAAGCACAAACATTTCTACGTATGCAAACTCAGAATGTAGGTTTTGGATTTGTCCTTTATACCTGTTTTCTCCCTGCTTGTTTGAAGGCGGGGGATGCAGCACTGTTTGATTCCCTTCCATCTCCACAATGCACTTGGTATTCAAGTCCAGCTCTGGAATATAATGCAACAGAGGACTTCAGGACATTCCCTTACATTTCACACATCATCAACAGCAGTTTGTTTGTTTCTTCTTGTGTCTAGAAAACAGTTCCCATTTGCTACGAGGAACATATCAAGTAATATGGGTGTTGCTCTCTAAAATACAGACAGTAAAAAAAAACCCTGGAGATCTACAGATTATAAGACATTCCCCACTGATTGTGAAACAGATGTTTCTGAAGCACAGGGAATACATAAGTATCTTTCAGAATTGAGATCAGTATAACTGCAAGGGTCAATGCCATACAAGTGTGATCATACCCTTGAATTCTGCTTGAATTAATTCAAAATAAACTACCACTATATATCCTCAATTCACAATGCAGATTACAAAACCACACTGCACACAAAACTGTTCATGGGAAAAGTTGGGGGAAGAAGAGCTCTCACCCCTTCTTTAATCACCATTACTGTGACTGACTGGTTAAAGAAGCCATCGAAACACTGAACGTGAAGGAGCAACTGAACCATACTGATCTTGAATATGAATCTTATATTGCCAGTTTCTTCCATGGGGCAAAGGAAAGGGGGAAAGCCATGGGGGGTGGGGGGGTGGGAGGTTATCCAAGGAGAACCCGCCCAGAGAGACATGATAGTGAACCTTCCCCACCCAACAAGCCAGAAAACGACTTGTTAATGGATAGCTTTCTAACGGGATTTATTCAGAGCTCCGCACCAATCGCATTAGAAAACGAAAACACTTTGATTCGAATCCAGCAGCACCTTAGAGAGCAACAAGATCTTCGGGCGGGGCATAAACTTTGGAGAGTCACAGCTCCTCAGAGACCCAGGGAAGGGAACTTTGACTCTCGAAAGCTCACGCCTCGAAAACCTCTCGTGGGTCTCTAAGGTGAACCGAACTGTCCTGTTTGCAGACCAATTCCCTGCAAAACGGAGTCCGCACTCTATCCGAAACCTCCGGATTCTCTCGAGCTAAATAATTAAACTCGTTTAACGGATCACGCCCTGTTGTTCCTGAACCTCCAACAGTCTGGAACAGAGGGGCTTTCTTGTTCGTTGTTTTTTTAAAAGAAAGAACAAAAAGTTCCCACAAAGAGCCATGCAACCCTTTACTCGCTCTCTCCCATCCCCGGACTACTTTGCAAACAATTTGCTGCTGAGAGCAATAGAGGAGGAGGAGAAGGAAGAGGGAAGGGAGGGAAAAGGTGTGTCCAAAGGGGTTGAGACGGGGGTCAGCCGAGGGCTGCCAGGAGGGATGCACGCGGGTTTTTAACGCATTTCTCGGTTTTACCTCTCCTGTTCATGGGCCGGACTCGGACGGCCACTTTCACCTTGGTATCCGACATCTTCTTCCCCGGGGACGGCCGCGCGGGGTGCCCAGCAGCAGCGAACGAGACCTCCCCTTCGCGCGGCGGCGGAGGAGGAAGGGGAGAGCCACACACGCCCAGCCAGCCCTCCTCCCTCGGGAAGCGGCGGGCGCCAGTCAGCGCTCCAGGGCGGCAGCGGCCCCAGCAGGAACAAGAGCTCTCGAGGAGGAGGAGGAGGAGGAGGACTCCCCCACAACAGCGCCGCTGCCTCCCGGGGCAAGCGCGGCGCCCAGGTCCATCTCGCGCTGGTGGCAGAGAAGAAGGGAGTCGGCCGAGACTCCCAACAGGCTGCAAGAAGAGGTCGGAGAAGAAGACGCGCGGCGGCGGCGGCGGAGTTGTTCCCCTTCCTCAGCCTCGTCTGCACGGCAAGCCCCGTTGCCCTCTTCCCCAGCCCCGGGGCGGCTGCGGCTGCTGCTCCCGTCGCCGCCTCCTCCCCATCCCCACCGCCATCTTCCGGCGCCGCCGCCGGCTTCTGCCTCGTCTGAGAATCCCCGCTGAGATTCCAGGCTGGCTGAGGCAGACAGGGGGCCGTCGGAAAAAGACGGAAAAGGCCGAGCGGCTTCGGCGCTCGCTGAAGTGGGAGGGGGGAGGAGGAAGAGAGTCAACCGTTGGCGGACGCCATTGGGGGAAAGTTCTCCCGAGGGCCGTGCGCCAGCTCCGCTCCCGGGGAGGATGAGCAGCGCGCAAGCGCAGAACAAAACGTTGGAGCGGGTCTTGGCGGGGGGAGATGTTCGGGCGGGGTGCGAGCGGGTGTTCCCCCGTGGGCCGTGGAAGAGGCGTGTGTGGTGTCAAGTGGAGGGGAGGAGTGGGTGGTGCGAGCAAGGTGAAGTTTAAGGCGGGGGAAACAAGTGAAGTGCGAGGGGCGCAGCGTGGCCTGGGCGAATGTTTGCAGAAACGTTGAAGGAGATGGGATAGTGCTGCGTGCTTTAAGTAAGAATGTAAAATCCTGATCTGTAACAATATGGGAATCCCAAAGTCCTCGGTTCTACACTGATGATGTAGGACAGGATCATTTCCGCTGTGGTAGCATTAGTAGAATGAGGGGAAGAATGGTCTTCATGTTCTTCACACCATTTTAAGGCCCGACCTGTGCTCCATGGAGCCCACTGTTGTTGTTTTCAAATTTAAATGTTTTATTATGCATAAAGAAAAAAGTTACACACAGTTTCAGAACAAGAACATACATTTGGGATGGAGCCCACTGTTTCTCTTAAATGCCATACCATCCATTATTTACCAATGAAACCAGGATGTGCTTGTTAACACCCCTGTTTCTACAGGAAGGATTATTTGACCCCTTCAGTTGACTTGCAGGTTGACCTCCTCTATGCCCAGGCCCTTTGCACAGATTAGCCCAGACTCTGATCCAGGGAACAGTAAGGATTGTGGTGTGACATGGCAAAATTTAATGCAGAAAACGGCTTATTTATTACAATTCTAGAGGGTTCAGACAGGTAAGCGGTAGCATGTTATACAGTCAACTGAAAAGCCTCTTACTGAAGGACTTAGTTATAGAGCACAAAAATCATACTAGCAACATAATTTGTGACTAGTGGAGTGTTGTGTAGTGGGTTAGCCGCATGGAAGAACTGCTGAGGCACGCATAGTACACAGCACACTTTATTAGTACACAACACGCACACCTACCAACGGCCGAGCGGCCGCTTATATACATTCTGGGGAACCCCTGCGGAATCCCATTGGTCCATTCAGACCTCCCGCCAATGTCCCATTGGTTCCCTAGAGGCAGGGTGCCGGAGCCTAGTCCTCATTGTTCTCTGGAATCAAGCTCCGCTGAATCGCGGGCGCCCAGTGGCAGTCTGCGGACATAACATCCCTCCCCCCATGGTCTGGACTATGATAATCTTTGAGGTGAGCTGGTGGCCGCCGTTCCCGTGATGAGCGTCTCAGCGCCGGCGCCGGATCGGGCGCATCCCGGGCACCTGTGGCTTGTCTGGACCCCGGTTGTGGAGCGGGCCGTTGCAGGGCAGTTCACGGGCTCCAACTCCCTAGGTTCCTGCTCGTTGACGGGACCTGGAATGACGCTTGGCTGGGCGGATAGCGGGGGGTTCCACTCCTGCACTTCTGACAAGCTCGCCTCCGGGGTGTCTGTGTCCTGTTCCTCGTCCTGGAGTGGCAGCAGGCGCCGGCGCAAGTGGTCTACATGCTTGTGGAGGAGTTGGCCGTCTTCCGTCGATACCTTGTAGGAGACGGGGCCCGTGAGGTGAATGATTCGGCCGGGAATCCACTCTGGCCCCTTGATGAAGTTCTTGACATAGACAGGGTCTTCCAGAAAGAACCCCCGTGGTGCCTTATGCTGTTCCGTCAGGGGTTGTGACTCCGGGGCCATGTTGGGGTGGAGGCGGTCCAGAAGCGTTGTTGGACGGCAACCCATCAATAGTTCGGGCAGGCAGCAGCCACTCACTGGGTTCAGGGTGGTCCTTTGCGCCAGCAGGTACCAGGCGATGCGCGACTCCCAGTCTCCCACAGTTATCTTGCTCAAGGCCTCCTTCGCTGATCGCACCATCCGCTCGGCTTGTCTGTTGGTGGCCGGGTGGAACGGTGCAGAGCGGATGTGTTTAATAAGATTCCATCTGAGGTAGGTCTGGAACTCCTCTGCCGTGAATGCTGACCCGTTGTCGGACACTATGGAGTCCGGCAGGCCGTGGCTTGCAAATATCTTTCATAAGGCCCGGATTGTTGCCGCCGTGGAGGTGGCCGACACTGTGCTGATTTCCAGCCACTTGGAGTGCAAGTCCACAGTTACAAGGAACAGCCGTCCTTGGAAGGGCCCCGCGAAGTCTATGTGCAGCCTCGACCATGGCCTTCGGGTCGCCTCCCAGGATTGCGAGGGCGCCTTCGGGGGACTGGGGCAGACCGCTTGGCATGTGGGGCAGCTTTTGACAAGGGTTTTGGCCTCCGCCTCGATACCCGGCCACCACACGTAGCTGCAGGCCAGGGCCTTCATTCTTACGATGTCTGGGTGAGCCTCGTGCAAGTCCTGGAGGACCTGTTTTTGGAGGGCGTGAGGTACCACCACCCTATTTCCCCACAGCAAACACCCCTTGTCGGCTGAGAGTTCGTAGCGGCGGCTTTTGAAAGCGGCAAATTCCTGCCCCTCTGAACACGGGCGATTATGGGGTCCTTGGTGGAGTAGCGGGCGATGTCGACGGCCTGCAGCGAGGCGTCTGGAAGAGCGGGCGATGTCGGCGGCCTGCAGCGGGGCGTCCGGAAGATCCTCAAGTTGCAGAATCGCATGGGCTGGCGCCGGATCCTCTTCGACAACGGGCAGGGGCAAGCGGCTCAAGGCGTCGGCATGACCCATGGCTTTCCCGGGACGGTGCTGCAGTGTAAACTCGTAGCCCGCGAGGAAAACGGACCATCGCAAGACCTGGGGCGAGAGGACTTGGGGCGTCCGGTGGTCGATTGTGAAAAGTCTGAGCAGGGGTTTATGGTCAGTGACGATGGTAAAGGGGCACCCGTAGACAAAGTCTTGGAATTTCTCCACGCCCGCCACGATCGCCAACCCCTATCTGGGCGTAGTTCCGTTCCGCCACAGAAAGGGTCCGCGAGTAGTACGCAACGGGCACCTCACAGCCATCCGGGAGACGGTGCGCCAACACCACATCCACACCATACGGGGACGCGTCGCAGGCCAGGACCACCGGCAACTTCTCATCGAAGTGGGCCAGCTGAGGGTTGGCGACGAGCAGAGCCTTGACCCCTTTGAACACCGCAGCCTCCCATGGCCCCACTGCCATGGGGTTTGTTTATCGAGGAGGCGATGCAGGGGCTCCGCTACCGCCGCCTTGGGGGGGAGAAAGGCGTGGTAGAAGTTCAGGAGCCCTAAGAACGCCTGGAGCTCCTGCTTTGATTTGGGTGCCGGCGCCTCGACAATGGCCTTCCCCTTGTCGCGGGCAGGGTGGAGGCCAGACACGTTGACAGTGAACCCCAGGAAGTCCACTGATGGCACCCCCAGCAAACACTTCTCCCTCTTGACCTTTAACCCAGCATCATGGAACCGGCGGAGGACGGCGCAGAGGTGGTCCGCGAATTCGGGTGGCGAGGCGGCGATCAAAACATAGTTGAAAAATGGGGTGACTCCGGGAATCCCTTTGAGAAGAGAATCCATTAGACACTGGAACAGTCCTGGAGCCACACTCACTCCGAATTGCGACCGCTTGACCTTAAACCCCCCCCGATGTGTCACTATTGTCTGTGCCTCCGCCGTTGCCTCATCTGCCGGCAGCTGCTGATATGCCTGGGCAAGATCCAGTTTCCCAAAAAGTTTGATGCCTGCCAGGGTTGCTAACACGTGGCTGACGACTGGGACCGGATATGGGTGGTCCTGCAGGGCCCGGTTAATAGTACATTTATAGTCCACACAGATGTGGACGGACCCATTGGGCTTGACGACCGTTACGATAGGCGTTTCCCATTTCGCATTCGTCACGGGTTCCAAAATTCCCTGGGCGACCAATTTGTCCAACTCGGCATCTATCTTCGGTTTGACCAACAAGGGCACGTTTTGATAGCGCAGTCTTACAGGGGCTACTTTGGGGTCGAGCTGCAGCGAAACTGGGAGCCCCGTATATTTGCCCAGGGCCCCGTCGAAAACGGAGGGAAATTCTTGGCATACGGCCTGGAAATTGTTCGGGACACACATCTGGATTCCCACTATTGTGATGCCCAGGGCTTTGAACCATGCTCGGCCCAATAAGCTGACCAGGTCCCCTTCTACCACTACTAAGTCCAGGTAGCCCTTGAACCCCTTATATTGTGCCCAGAAACTGATGACTCCCTTAATGGGCACACTATTCCTTTGAAAGTCCATGAGAGTCAGCGGGGATGGGCGTAAACGGGGGGTCCCCCTAGGGCACAGTCTTTTTAAGGTGGCCTCCGAGATGATGGAGGCCGTGGAACCCAAATCAAGCTCCATCATACAGGGGGACCCTTGTATCTGAACTTGGACCTGTATTCTGGGGACCGAGGGTTGGCCTGGGAGGCGCAGTACCTGATCAGCGATGTGATAGAGGTCCTCGGAGTGCCTGGCATCTTCGAAATGAGCAGACGCTTGTCTCCACCGAGGTGGCTGCGCCCGATTTGCCTTAGAGCGGCACACACGAGTGATGTGGCCGGTCCGCCCACAGTTTTGGCAGATCACGTTGCGGAACCGGCACTACGTCATCTAGTGCTGCTCCCCACAGCTCGCGCAGTAGGTGGCGGCGGCGCGGGGTTTTTCTTGCACTTGAGTGCGACATTTGGACCCTGCGTATGCTCAGTGGACCTCCTGATCCTCATGGTCGTCCAGCTCGACCTGCAGGGCCGCGGCCATGGCGGGGTGTGACTGCTCCCAGGCGATGGCG